CATCTGCTGGTTCCCTAGTAAATCACATTAAGCCTGTGGCAAAGAACCTTGGTGTTTGGTTTGATAGTAATTTAAATTTCGAGCAGCACACCACAAAGCTTGTTCAATCATGTTTTTATCAACTTAGAAATATAGCAAAAATTCGATCTATGTTAACTTTTAAGGACACCAAGACCATTTTACACGCCTTCATCTCATCACTCATGGATTATTGCAACAGCCTTTTCACCTGTTTAACCCAAAAATCTATTGATCGACTCCAGACTGTCCAGAACTCAGCTGCCAGGCTTTTAACCAGAACAAAGAAATATGACCACATTACTCCTATTTTAGCTTCATTACAGTGGCTCCCGGTAGTTTTTAGAATTGACTTTAAAATTCTATTGATCACTTTTAAAGCTCTTCATGGCCTCTCGCCTTGTTATATTTCTGACCTTTTAGTCCCATACACACCAGCACGTACCTTGAGATCCTCGGGCAGAGGTCTGTTGTCTGTTCCAGAGTCTCGACTGAAAACTAAAGGGGACAGAGCGTTTGCTGTCAGGGCCCCGAGGCTCTGGAACAGCCTGCCCGAGGAAATCAGGTCGGCTGAGTCAGTGAACTCTTAAGTCCCTTCTTAAAACATACTTTTATAGGAGAGCCTTTCCCGATCTTATTTGATTTTATTTTATCCCTTTTATTTTTATTGTATTTTACTAATAATATATTTATCTGTATTTCAGTCTTTTCAATGTTTTCTTGCTTTTATCTTGTATTGTTTTTGTATTATTTCTCTTGGGTATTATTGTCTTTACACTTGTTAAAGCACTTTGTAACTTATTTTTGAAAAGTGCTCTACAAATACAGATTATTATTATTATTATTATTATTATTATTGTCTGTATGTGTGTGTTTTAAAATACTTTTTTTTTTTTTAACTGATATTTGTTATGCTATGCTAGGGCATTTAGCAAGGTTTTAATGCATAAATAATGAATTTTTGTCATACTGAATGGTTTCGTAAAGCATCTTCATGGTATATTAATAGTGGCTCTTGGAGTACACTGGTAAGGTACTAGTAGGTAACTAAATGTAACAACTGTGACAGTCTAAAAATATTAGGTACAGTCCTAACATTTTTTAATAGATTATTCAACTGATTAATTATTAAAATTGAGTAAGGTTAACACTTTGATTGATTTATATATATGATTTTAATAATAATGATAATAAATGAACAAAATAATAAAAGTATAAAAATTGTACAATAAAACAATAAAATGTTACCTATTTGAGGTTTGGCAGATTTAATTAAAAATGTCACAAAAGGGACACTGATGATGCAGTGCAAGTTGTGTCTTATTGAAGCAGCCTACAAGGATGTCCACTAACAATGTGGTGACATGAGTTTAAGTCATGGTGGCTCACCATTGCAAAATGACCAAGTGCCACTAGAGCAATATCAAAATAAAATCTAACATTGACATATACTACTTCATTTACTTATCAAACAGTGTTAAAGTTTAGACCCAGGTCAAAAGCACACTCTCTAGTTTCCCAGCAGACAGTGGCGTACTTTTTCAGGAAGACTCTTCAATCTATTAACATCTCAAGTGTATTGAACTGTTTTCTCAGGTTCTGTTAATTCAGTTGGTTTTACTTTTTCATGACTTACAAGAAAACTTGAATCAAATTATTCAACATTAGTTTCGTTAACTCACATTTTTAAGGCAGCATGGGAACTTACATTAGTTATTAAGTATGTTAGTAAGTTAGTAAATTGAACCAGCTTAAAACGATTAACAGTGTAGATTTTTCAGAATATATTCAAATTTGGTGAAAGGAAATGTGCAAAACTGAAGTGTCCCGTGTCTGATGATGCTATGTGGGAAATGTCCCCAGTCAGTGCTTTAAAGCAAATCCATTTTAAATGTGATGTATCCTAAAATGTGCACACACACACTAATATAAAACTATTCCACCTTGTGACATCTAACACACTTGGGGAAAAAAGAGCTGGTTTTCAAATAGTTGGAGATTTTCAAAATGATACAGCCCCACTTTATCTGCAATCTGGCCAGTGACTTCTGCACCATTAAGCTACGATGAGCTGCAAACTTCACTGATGTCAAAACCAGCTGAGTTGTGATAAAGGTTGAAGACTATCAGAGGATTGGCCTACGGTTTATAGCCTAGCACCCTCCTGTGTTACAGGTGGTCTTTTGCAACCTTCTGCACAATGTGCATCACGATCCCTGTCCAAGGTGCTGATCCTACAACCCCAATGATGTGGGAGCCGTGGGATACTTGTGATCAATTCCTTTGGCATTTTTTCCCAATTTCTCTATCCTACACATCAGACTACAACATAATCTGATCTAATTCACATTTAGGGGAAATTAGACTGGGGAGGCTCTCGCTTTTTATAAAATGAACCATAAGATTCAGCATCTCTCCCCACCCAATACTGTGTGCCCCTTTAACCATATCATAATTGCCCCAATATTTTTAATATTGTTTCCCAGTCTAAATGATCGCTATCGCTCCTTATTAACCTCAATCATGCAAGCATTACAATGCTCTCCATAAAACACCTCCCTGGTATTCCTTTACGCAGAAATAAAGAACATGCAATAATTTGCAGAAAACCAAAATCAGGGCCAAAACCTTTATTTCCAGCAGATTTACATGTTTCTGTTATTGTCAGTTGTCCAGTTTTCCAAAATTGCATGGTAAGATATTGTAGACTACCAGGAGGCGCAGTGGAGAGACTGGGGACGGGCCAGCTGCCTTTAGCCTGCCCCAGTTGGTGTAGGAGGTGCTGGACGTGTGGTGTTAAGGTTGGGGTTGAGTTTGGGATTTGGGGTTGGGAGTAGGGCTAGGATCGGGTTTGGGGTTAGGGGTGGGGTTGGGGTTGGGATTAGGAGGTGTAGGGGCAGGAGCAGGAGCAGGGGCAGGGATCGGGGCCGGGGGAATATAGCACCCTCTCTTGTGCCACTGCATGTCTAGCACACGTCGGACGGACTGGATCTGAGGTGCAGTGGCTCCCCAATCGTTCCAGTGCTTGAAATCTCCATGCTCAAACACATACTGGCGCCCTCTGTAGCCTGGATACATATATCCCACCCACCTTTAGAGGGAAGAGAAACAGTAGGGTATAACAGGCTTATTATCCCTAAAAACAAAACAACTGCATCTTCTATAACATGGTCACAGCTTACGTTCCATTGATGGCCTTGGCACTGGCCACACGGTCCTGGAAACCATATGCCCACAGGCTGGGGACGTCATCATCAACGATCTCCATCTTTCTACCCTCAAAACCTGCATTCTCAAACAGGTGCAGTTTATGATCTGCACTGTCCTGGAGAGAAAAACAACTGGTTTGAACATGACTTTCAGGAAACTATATCTGCTAATATTAAACTGACAATACTGACCACTCTGAGAGGCCTGAATGAGCTCAGGCTGTAGCTATTCTGGCAGTTGGTCCAGGTGCTCCACCGAGGATACTCTCCTTTCTCCAGCACAAACTGTTCTCCTGCAAAACCCGGGCGCTCAAACCCCACCCATCTGACCATATGGGGAAAATGCATTACATATAACATTAATCTTTCGTAGAGAAAGAAAGAGAAAACAGGATGCAAATGCTGTGAAAATCAATGAGACTTGAAAAAGGGAAACAAAGTTTACTCACGGTCCTGACTCCACAATGATTGAGCCAACTCTCTGTGTCTTCTCCAGCACGTCTTTACATTCACCAGACAACTCCACCTTCTTTCCACGGAAGTTCTCAAACTCAAAAACCGCCAACTACAAGACAGGTGGAGAGTTGGATGATGTGTGATAGCCCCCGAAGTCCTAATCTATGGTATTCCTGTGGCATTATAGTCTCACAAACATGCATTTATGTATATAATGTGTGAAGTCACCAACAAAGTTCTAAGGTACCTTATATGTGGCTCCAGCCCCTCCTTGGCCCTTCTCTGCAGGCAACTGGTCTGGGGTTCCTTGCTGTTCGGTCATTTTCCCACTTCAAAGCACAGCAGTTACATAGTTAAGTGCTATAAGTGGCAGCATTAGATAGATTTTTACTCTTAGGTTGTTCAGTTCATAGAATAAAATTGTGTTTTCTGCACAAACAGAAACATTATTAAGCTTAGTGTAAAGTATCGTCACAGTTAGGACCAAAATGTCTCAGCTCTAAATTTAGTTGTTCACATGTCTATCAGCAAGACATTTGCACACTTGCCCAGCGTTGTCAGTTGTATATGTAAGAATAAAACATTAATAGGGCACACACAACATGCTGTTTAAGAAGCAAGCATCTGGATGCAGAGAGAAGAGGGGACAGGGAGAGAGAAAAAAAGAAAGGCCTGTCAGAGGGAGGGACGATCTTCATTCTTTTTTACCTGGATGGCTTGTGCTTCACTGCACCACGTACAAGCCACGCTCTCCGTCTTTCCTCTTTCTTTTCTCTTTTTTTCTGTCTGTCTCAGTGTGAGGGTGAGTGTGGGTGTGGAGGCCTGGCGAGCGGTTGGTGGAGGCCGGTGGGGGTATTTATGGTTTATTTCTGACCACAGCAGCAAAAAGCCTGTTGATGCAGCAAGTCTGTCGCACCCATTGTGTCCATCACACTGCTTCTCAATAGGCTTGCCCCTCTGTCCCTGGCACACTGGCAAACCGTGCCCAGCTCTGCCCATGCTGCCACCCCTGACCATGATCCTATAGTGGGCACACGCACTGACTGCCTGCCAAGAGAATGAACAGAGATCAGTCTCACTCAGCAGTATTGGCCCCACCCAGCTATCTTGCTCTCCAGTTTCCTGTCTTCTACCTGTTTCTTTACCTTTCTCTTCACCCAGCATCCAAAAATCTGCATCTAATGTTGATGCTTATAGGACATAATTGAGACTATGTTATAAATACGTATGAACAAGCTGACCTGCGGGCATATGCTTTGTCATGCTCCACTACCTTTTGCACAATGGAGAACGATTTCCAATGAAAAACACACTTGATTACAGTTCATAGAAAAAGTTTTAATAAAATTCCCTCAATTTCCTCATATCATGCAATATGTTGATCATAGATGACTACAGCATTGATGACAGTAATTATTTAACATTAAAAAGGCACATACAAAAATCTACAGTAGATTAATGCATTTTTCTGGGTTTAAGATCTTGCAAAACACCACTTCCTGATTCTGATATGGCACATCCAGAATTTCCTCCCAGCTCACTCCTGATGTTCTGACCAGCTATTGGGAGTTTTAATAAAACCAGGAAGTGCATCTTTAACCTTACTTTAAAGAGAAGACAGACACTCACGGCATAACAAAAAGAAAAATTCCTGATGATCATGTTACTACAGGTAGGTTCCTGATTATTTTATTGCTTAGATGTACTAAATGGATGGTGATTTCTTAAAGTGCTTAAAGGCTTACTTGGGATTATCTGTCATTGGAAAGGTAAAGGTAGGCCTTTTGTACAATTCAAACTAAATACACACGGTGCAATCGATTATTTATATTCAGTGTTTTCTGTACATTTATGTGTGTGTGTGTGTGTGTGTAGGTAGGTAGATACCCTGAAGTGTCATCATTCCCTGTCAGTATATGATGGACATACACTTTTCAACATAAGACAGTCCATGGATTTGCTCTAAATTACATTGTGGTATCCATTGAGCTGCTGTACAACAGTAGATTAAACATGTAGTTGGCATTAACACATCAGTCTTGGCACATATCCTTGGCACCATATTCCATTTACAAGATGGACAAGTTCTTGATGGCCTCTATGTTCAGCAGAAGCCAGATTTCCTCTCCTGAATATCTCAGTAAAGGTCCAAAATAAGGCACTCAAAGTGTAAAATGGAGTAATCATGGCAAGGTGTCTCTCAGCTGCAGCAGCTGGATGGATCGATTCTTGCTGAACAGCAACGGCACAGTGTCTTCTAAAGGGTACGAAAGAAAGAAAAGTTCAGAAAGACGTTTCCAAATCCCAGACTTCAGGAGACATTGACTTTATGTAATATATTCAACATTTATCACATATCATTTGTTGGATGGGTTTATCTGTAAGTACTCTACACTACCATGAGGGCATTCATTTATAGCATGGGTGGCCCAAGTGGTGCTGAAACCCATAATGTTCTTACATCGATGTGTCCTTTACACTTGTACTATATACTATAAACAGCAATATATAGCTATAAGCAGCAATTCCACAGCCAAGTAAAAGAGCATCAAGCATCGGAAACTGCATTCAGGTACAGGATGTCTACCCACTTCACAGTTTTGATAATAATAAGAGAAAGCATTGCAGAGATGTGGCCCACTTCCTGTTTTTGTCTCTGCCGTCAGTTTGGTCACAGTCTGCATTAAATAACACAACTGTTCCCGACAGCACTGCTGGACATTTTGAACTATTCACTTTCTATTATTGCAAACCTTTTCAGCTGTCTTGCATTATGACTCACAAGCGAAATTAGTCCTCTTAAATAATGCCTCAAAACTAAAAAACTCAGAATTCTATTGAAATGAGAAATAATAAAGAAAAAAGAGGTATGTTGGTACATGAAAACGTTTTAGGTGCTACAAAAATGCAAAACGTGTGAGTGGAACCTTTGACTGATGTGTTGTCCCGATTCTAAAATGTAAAAACATACTGATACTGCACGAACAAGAGAAAGAAAGCCTACAATAACCACAGGTATCCAGGTACCCAACAACAGAACTCTCATTTTATATAGCAAGAACAACTCTGCATAGCAAGAAGTTATGATTTTAATTTTTTAAATGTATATTTTATTATGTAGCAGAATCTGTCTTGGTATGATTATCACCTCGTCCATGTAACTGCGTGATGCCTATTTTTATATGTTTACATTAAATGTTGCAAAGCACTTTGTTATCGAAAAGTGCTATACATACAAATACAATGTTATTATAATTATATCACTCACCTGTGTCAGGCTAAGTCTCGCTGTCATACTGACTCAGGCGCTTCTTAGACTTCAGTTCTTTCAGCCAAGCGGGAGAGGAAACGGCACTGAATGACACAAAGAATCACAGTTCAGAGGAGTGTCTTATTAAAATTACATACTACCTTTATTTTTTATAATTTTGCTAATAATTATAATATTTAAAATATGCTTTTTTCTTACCCTCCATCCGTGCCGCCTAAGGGTGGCAGCACTAGTGCAGCCCCAGCAAGATGAGCGGGGGCGCGAGGAGAGCGGGGCAGCTGGGTGGGAGATGGTGCCACTTCCTCCTTTTGACTTTCCTCCTCTCGTCTTGCCTTGTCTTCTTCCATTTCCTCTCCTCCTCCAGCTCCTCCTCCACCTGTTCTCCTTTTTAACTGAGCCTTAGGGAACAAGTAAAATACACTTTACTCATTTCAAATGACACTCATTTGTATTATGTTATACATCATCAAAGCGGGAAAACATGTTCTCCTTGAACTTGGACAGAACTTACAATCAAGGCTGCAGGGCTCAAACCTGGGAACATGGGGACTCTCTGAGTGGTGGGAGGCGGAGAACAGACTATCTTCGGTTTAGGCTGCTCCTCCTCAGAGTCTGACTCCCTTTGCTTAGTAGATGCCTCCGTTTTATCTAAAAACACTGAGTTAACAGATCAGTCAGTGAATCATCATTCCCCCCATGCTTTTTGCCTGGCGCGGATGTATTTGATGGAGACGTTGCTTGTTTATTTAGATTTTTTTCTATCTCCAGTCATCCATGTAGATTAGATAATATTGCATAACATGCAGTAATTACCTGTGGAGTCATGGGTCCTCCAGTCCGGGCTTTCCGTTGGACACAGACCTGCACGAAAGGAACGCGATGGACGCGTCCGAATTCGCCTCTTACCCAGATCTGCCTTTAGTTTCTGTGCGCTGGTGTCGAGGAGAGGGGTGGAGCTCTGTGCACACACACACAAACACACAGAACTGAATACACTGTATTCACAGGTGGTGTGTTAACAGACCATCACACTACAACAATGTAGACAGAAGTGCATATTTTACCAGGAAGTTCTGCAAAGCAACAACCAAACAACATCTTAATGTTTGTAGCTGATGATACAGACGTCAGCTGTCACCATTCACAAAGGAGGGATTAGAAAGAAAGAATCACCAACCTCAGGGAATGGAGCCATTTCTTCCTCCCTGTGAAGGTCAGTGGTATCAAGGTCTTCAGAGGAGCCTTCAGGAACTTGGTCAGGGACGGGCTTTGGACTGAAGAGAAAGAAAGCTATTTAAAATGGGTATTGTTTAAAATGCCTTCAGTTCAAGTTTAGGAGTAACTTTAGATCAATTTCACAAAACTCCACTCTTCTGAGTTTCTGTGTAGTGCTCTATTAACCACAAGGGGGCACAGGAGGCTCAACTCTTGAAAATACTTGAAAGTACAGAGATAATGCTGTCACAGGATTTATGTTTAAAAAACAAAAATGTCTTTATTAGTCCAAATCACAAACTTCACTACATGCTCCGCTAATCATACTAAGAAGCCAGAGCTAAACTTGGCCCTCCAAACTGTACCTTTGGGTGACTTACTTTAAGACTACAATGACTGACAGCTATAGGGCTTCTATTTGCAGGTGTGCTCAGTTTGAATCAAATCACCTCAATGCGAATCCATTCCTGTCTGTCTCCATCAGGGTAGATGAGGGAAATGAAACCACGCTTTCCTACCTGTCACTTCCAGATGTCCGTTCACAGGCCTCATTCTGCTGGCCTGGCTCGTCGTCAATCAAGGCAACAGTGTCTTTGTTTTCATCGTTTGTGCAATAACTGTTAACCTGTGCCTGGGAGACAGAAAGACAGACATTAAATTAAATTGGGAAATGAGAAAGAAAACATTATACAACAGAACCAGAGAAAACATCAAGGAAGCATTCTGGGATATATTTTGCTGAACTCTACTAATTTAATGCCAAGCATGTGCAGATAACTCTCAATACTACTCTGCCTACCTCTCTGCTGGATTGCCTGCTTTATCATATAAAATCAAATGGTGTAAATATTCTTTTGTTCTCTAAATTTGCACATTGGAACATCACATTGTGGAGCTGAGGCAGGGAGAAAATGAACAGTGTGCTGAGCCAAGATCACTAACTACAGAGGAAGAGAGGAATAAGGACCAGCCAAGCATGCATCTTTTAATGAGCCGGTCACAGAGGCTGGGCTGTCCTCAATAAACAGCGTATATGTGTATGCACGCACGCGCACTGGCTTACACACCTATATGCCTACACACAGACACACCAAGCACTTTCATGCTGTCACGCCCACATGCTGGAATGCTTAGTGTGCGCACACACATGCACACAAAAGCAACTAGTGCACACTTCCTCACAAACATTCCTTTATGCTCACTTCAAATTTTGCCAAGGGGCACATCCCAATCTTGTGTTGTCTGATATTGTCACCTGGATACAGAACAACACTCGAGTTTACACCCCTGCCCTCCAATGTCTCTTCTCCTTAGCAAGTCTCTTTATTACTCAGGACTCACGGAGCGCCTTCATTTGCACAATGCCTGTTATCTGGCAACGTCACAGCATGGAATGAACAGGCTTCTGGTGATTTTCCTACAACCATACACTGTGTTTGGTTCTCACAGTCTACAGTGGCCACCACCACCATGCTTTTATCCTGAATCTGTCCTACCTTTATTACGGAAGTAGCCGCTGCAGCGCACAAAGTTTTTAATGTTGACAGATTTCGTGAGTGCATGTATGGCTAATGGCTCCCTTTCATACTACTCCAAAAAGTTTCTAGTGAATTCAAAGAGAAACTTAATTCAGTTTCTAAATATTTCCTCTTTGGCAGTGGTACAGTGAGACAATGGGCAAGTGTATCTCACATTTGAAATGAAACAGGCAATCAACTTTTCTCAAGTTTCAGAAATGCAATGATTAAATAAAGAAATTTCCGACTTCACTCAAATACCTTGCAATGAAAATTTTGTGCATTAAAGCAGAAGAATAGATTTTTGACCAATTGGGGGCAGCAGAAGAAGTTTTAAACACAACACATGAACACATATTAACACCTTATAAAGTTGATACAGAAAAATGTCTAGCAGGTACATAGCAACATTAGAAAGCATTTGGTGTTGTGTTTCTGGCAACCTTACCAATGTAAATCCTTTATTTACTCCCATTTTAGCTCTGTTTTGGCCTCCACCAAGTCCCGAGGGAATGATTTGGCAGTTAAACTGCCAGCTAGTTGACATATGTCTGCCATTTGGTTCTGGACAGGTAGCATATAGAGGGTTTATCAGAGCCTTTTTTGCTAAAAACATCTGCCTCATCTAAAGTTGAGGATCGTAAAGCCAAAACAAAGAGCTAAAAGATGTATAAACAGATTCAGATGTACGTACACACTATGGAAACTCTACTGGTGGATTCCTTATTCTACAAGTGATAACTGGACATGTAGAACTATTGTAAAACTATAAACATAACAACAACCACCTAAATAAGTACACACACGAGAAACAGATTCTTCAAAAGGACATGCAAGTCAAGAAGGAGTCGGCTTTATTATAGTTTACCATCACATTTTTGTCACGGTCAATGGGATGTGTAAGATAGCATGTTTATGGTGTAGTGGAGAGGATTACAGCCGATGCCACAAGAGCAACTAAGCGAGAATCTAATCCAGAACAGAGGACGAAGACTGTCAAAAGAAACATCACTTCTAATAAAGAAAAGTGATGGATCATCAAATTAAAAGTGGAAACAGCCTGCAGGTTCCACATATATACATACACGAACACACACGTTCAAACCCACATGCAGGGAGCAGCCACAGTAAACACTTAAAAATAGAAAGACATAATTCGGCATGGATATGTCTCAAAAACAGCCTCTTGTATTGCCGTTGCCAGAGTATGTGATTATGAGATATACAGCAAGGGCTTAAAATAAAAAAATCAGACATATATATCTGCTATCATGCTGTTTTGAGCAGTATATTTCTTAAAGGCAGACACAGATGCAGAGGGCATACCCATACTTGGATAACGCTTGTCTAACTGTGTCACACTTTGTTATAGTCCTCTGCTTTATCTCTGACACACACCACAGAGACAGAGGGAAAGGGCATGCATGGACACTGATAAAAGCCTACATTTGGACAACTTAATCAGATAACTGTGTCCTTCCTGAAACAGACTGCCACTGCCTGCTGCACGCCCTCTTTACATTTGCATGGTTATCTATTAACAGACGGGTGTGGGAAAGGACTGAGTTACTTGGGAGGTTTGGCGCAAATTGTGAAAAGCACCTAAACCCTTGAGCTAGCCAAACCATAAGCAATTCTATTCATAAGACTTGACCTGGATCTGATAAGAACAGAACATATATCAGCTCTTACAGAGCAGGTTTCAGTGGCTCTCCTCTGCAGAGTTTTCCGACTTCTGACGGAGAAGCGTCGCAGAGATCGCCTGCTACGTCTGGCGAAGCTGCGCAGTGGTGACATGGCTCTCTGAAACCTTCCTTCTCCACCTCTTTCTTCCTCCTCTTCCTCCTCTTCTTCCTCCTCCTGCTTCTCCTCTGAGTTGCCCATCACCAGCTCCAGAGCCCCTTGCAAGGAGCGCCGCACACTGCCCACCCAGCCCGCCACCTGAAGCTGGGCAGAGGACAGTTTCCCTCCCAAGTACTGCATGGTTGAAAAAGCTCACACAGCTGGTCATCCAGGCACTAGGGTCACCATGGGAACTGGGTCACCAAAGAAACTGAGGTTCAGCTTCGTCAGAGACGGAGGGGTTTTGCGTGTGGATCAGAAAGCTGGGTCCGTGACCCGGCTTTCAGTTGTCTTTTTTAGCAAGCAGAAGGCAAAGAAAACATAAATTGTCTTTTGTAAAAATTACGTCATACAAAACAAGATATGGTCCATCTTTGATTTGAACGGGATACGGCCTCTCTCTCCATATTTTTATGGTTCACGTCACACAAACTTCCTGTAATAGTCTATTATTTGCTGTCAGCAAAGAAGTGCATGTGTTTGCACTGTGACAACACTATTCCTCTGCAGCATTCACTGTAAAGAATGTGACATTCTAAACAGCAGCGTCCCGAAGAAAGATCACATAATCATCCATTTAAAAGACAGTGACAGAAGTCTATCAGAAAGTCCCCTTTGCCTCAACTTAGGAAGTAAAAAAAAAGCAAAGGAGTTTTTCGTCCTGCACACAAACAATGACGATTACCCCTGTTCATGTGTTACCCTCTGTCTCTCTTTTGTTGAAACTTGTTCTGCCACAGTCAAGCCTGACTGCTTGCGTACCTATGTCCCAGTTCACATCGCGACTCCATTTTCAATTCAGAAAAAAAGAAAAGAAAAAAAGAAAAAGCAGCGTGGGAAATATTTGCCACTTCAAACATCCAAAGCCAGGTACAGAGAGGTAGATCAGCCCTTTTATCTCCTTTAGACCTGAGTGATTTCAGAGAACGTCAAAACAAAGCGGAGGTCTGTGCTCGGATGTGGAAAATCCTGAGGGAAGGAAGGTGCAGCAGGCTGGGCCAAGGTGCTTTCCGTACCTCCCTCCTCTGCTCTCTTCCCGTAGGTAAATGCAGGTTGCTGAATAAACCAGGTCTTTGTGAGAAGAGAGGGCAGAGGGAACTGCAGAAAACTGGAAAGTTGAGAGATAGAGAACAACAGGGACAGGACTAGATGACTGAAAGACAGGACAGTGGACATGTGAACTTTCTCGTCCGAGGTTTAGCCCTTCCTCTTTTGTGTGTGTCTTATGTGTGCCAGAAAGTGTGTGTGTGTGTAAGGGGTGACAGGCTCTCTCAAAACTGGGTAGAGAGGCTGAGTAGAGAGACAGACAAAGAGGGGCACCATGTATGGACATTCTGACACGCTGCCCTGTTGACCAGATCCAAATGAGGACATGATGACCACATAGCACCTGGCCTCTTCTCACTACACATCTATCCACCCATCTGTCTGTCTATCTTTTAGTCACGGTGCTGCACGCTTGGCTGCACAGCTTATGTTTGCCCAGTAAACATTTTTCTCATTCCGCTCGGTAAAAATAAAACACTTTTCTCTGCCACACACCAGTGGCTTTGCTGTGGAGATTTTCTTTCAAAGTATTTAATAAACTATACTAACTGTACCTCTTAGTCTTGTAGTGGCCATATTATAGCCGTGTAAGGTGCTCTACATGAGATAAACTTCTTGGTTTCTGTGGTGCAGAATAAGGAAGTGCACTTTTTAAGAGCAGCAGCACCACTCAGTGGTGAAAACATGGTTGTTTTCACACAACCCATGACTGCTAAGGATGATAGCAAAGCTATCAATACCAATGGCCTTACAGCAGTTAAGAGGTTACATGTACAGTGCCCCCTTCCAGTCACTGGTTTTGTGGGTTGGTTTGTTTGCAAAAGCATGCACACAGGTAACAGACACGCAGCATCACAAAAGACGCACACATACAGTCACACAGTTCCATCTGCAGAGTTAAGTGTTTTCATTGATTTGAAGTTTTGCGTGTTCAAACAGGTGGCGAACCGATGTGTTTTGACTGGTGTGGCCCTGTCGGCAGTTCATTCACTCTGATGTACTCTAATTGGGAGCTACCACAACTCGTTGCTCCATTCACCGTTTGTGTTTGCCTTGTCTCTTTTCATGGTAAAGTGTAATCAAGTTTTCAGAAGGTAATTTTCAGATTTTTTTTAATGTTAATTTCTGCTGCAAGATGTTCATTTAGTTGCACTTTAAATGTATAAATGTTTAAGCTTGTTTAGGTGTGTTGTTAGGGTGTAATCTTCATTTTAGTCTGTTACTCTGTTATTACCTATAACAAGGCTAACATTGCTAAGGTGACAACATAAGCTGACAACTCCCAACTAATCAGTCCTTTAAGGCAGTACAGCGATGACGTTTATTTGTGGGTCCACCCAGAGGTTCACTCAGACATGGTTTGTTGACTGCAGCTGAACAACACCTTCAATGGGCCTTTGAATTTGAATCAACTGAAGCAGAGAATAAGCTTTGTGTTGGAAGCGGCCGTGTCATATTTATGTATCTAGACTTATATAATATCCTTATGCACTTTGATGCTGACAGTTGGATGAGAAGACTGATACCAGTCTCGTGTCTGTATACAAAATATCAAAATATGAAGCTACAGCCAACATGGTTAGCATAAAGACTGGAAACAGGGAAACAGCTATCTTGGCCCTGTCTAAATGAGATGTAACACATTAATTAGCGAGCATTAGAGATGCTGGTAAGCAGATGTTGTTACTTTTAGTTACCAGAGCCCAGTTAGCTGTTTCCCTGTTTTTTCCCAGTGTTTATGCTAAGCTAAGCTAACCGACTGCTGGCTCCAGCTTCATATTTATCATAACAGCCGTAAGTGTGGTATCAATTTTCTCATCTAAAACTTGGCAAGACAGTGACATTTCCCAAAATGCCAAACTATACTTTTAAACACCATCAAAGCATTTGATCACATTGATGAAATAATTTTTTTTCTATGAAGCAGTCCTCCTAACTGATTTTTATTTATTTAGTCTTTTTACAATTACAGAGATGTGAAAGGAACAGATATGACAACACCTCTGATGGATGAGAAAAGTGTTGTCTCATGGTATATTTTGTCATATTGCCCACCCATAAGTTACACAAACACTTGCTTACACTTGACTTAACCACATACCTTGAATCAAGCAAGTAAAACCTGACTTCTCTCTTTCAAACAGGCTTCATACTCAACATGTAGTGTATTCATTTGCTGCTTTAATTAGTTTAGTAAATGTAACTATTCAACTGGCTAACTATAGTGATGGGTGAGGCTAGCTTACTGCAATACAACAGCTACGATAAATCTAAAACATACAAGGTGTGCCCTCCCAGATTGCTAAACTGGCCCTGCAATTTGCTGCACAACCACTAGCACATATCAGGTAGCATTTCTATCTGCAAAGACTCACCCAAAGCTGCTGGAGATAACCCATCCAAGATGCCCACATGAAATAATCCATCCCTCCATCAAATGCTCTTTTTCTTTTAAACAGGCTTTGACACTGAAAATAAACGTGCTCTTTATGCACTGATAAGAAAAAAATTAAGCTAGAAGAGAGACAGATGCAGAGGAAGCCGTAGCCTCACTTCCTGTTAGATTTCTTGCTGCCATAACCACACATCTACATACATGCACCACCAGACGTAGTCTGTAAACGCACTGTTACAGATGTCTGATAGATTTAGAAAATGCATTTGGGACTAGAAGTAAATTGATTGAAAATACCCTTGCACAAAACTAAATGAATATTGAACATGGACAAGAAATTTAGTCTTAATTTTTCTCATCCCCAACATATCATTTTCAGGGGTAATCATTTGAGTGCACATGTCTTTATTGTCACACCTCTTAAGTCAACACTTCTACATCTTTAACACTCTGCACTCTGACACTTTCTTTGTTGCTGTAAGAAACAAGCTCTCGCTGTCAGGAAGGGCAGACTACTGACACATTGCACGTAGACGTAGATCTAAGGCCGTGTTTGTTTCATTACTCAAGAAAAAAAACCACAACAAGTTCTTAAGCTGTAACTTTATCAAGCTCAAACAAGTGTAACGAGATGTTTTTCCTCGTGCTACAGGAATGGCAATATGTTGCTACAGGTGTGTTGTTGCCAGGCTGATATGATTCAGTGGTGAAATACCCACATTTACATGTTTGCTCCTGCCTCTGTTCTTAACCTCACCCTCTCTGTATCATTAAACCCTTTCATGTAAGTTTGCAACAACAACATAAAAATCAAGTTGCAGTCTAAGCGAATAGGATTTCATTTTTGTATTTACCTGTTTCGTTTCTTCTTTGACTTCATCCTCCTGTGTCTCCTCCTCTTCCTCCCTCTCCGTCTCCATCTCCTCTTCCTCCACCTCGATGGAGATGAGCTGTTGGTCCTCCGGCCTTTCCTCCTCCTCCTCCTCCTCCTCCTCTGGACTTTCCTGGGCTAAAATGGGCTCTGGGCTGTCTGTTTTTTTCACCTGCTCTGGCACTTTATTTTCCCAGCGGCTGACATCCACAGGCACCAGCACTTCCATTTCCTCTTTTTTCACAGGGTCAGATACCCCACTCTGAATGACTGGAGTAGTTTGTACTTTAGCCTGTGAGCCCCATCTCAATGGTTTGACTGAAAAATCGTCAAAATCCACATCGATCAGAGGCGGCCTGACGGAGAAGTCGTCATAAAGGACTTCGATTTGACTCTCTGTGGACTCATGGGTTTTTGCTAGGGGGGGATATAGTGACTCTGACTTCAGAGGCACATCTTCAGAGTCAAAGCTGATTAAATTTGGCTCTGCTTCGTGCACCACACTCTCTGGTTCCCTACTGGTCAGCCCATCCCTTTTTCTCTCTTCCTCCATTCTCAGCTTTTCTTCCAGTTCTTGGGCTCGCTTTTTTTCCTCTTGCAGTTTTCTCTCAAGCTCTTCTACTCTTTCTCGTTCTTTCTGCCTCCTCCTTTCTTCTTCCCTCCTCTCCTCCTCCCTCTGTTTCTCCAGTTTCCTCATTCTCTCCATCTCTTCTTCTTTTTTCTGCTGCTCTTGCATCCTCTTTTGCCTCTCCTTTTCTCTTTCCTCTGCCTCCTCTCTTAATCTTTCTTTCTCCCTCTCCTCTTGTCTGAGTCTCTCCTCTTCCAGTTCTTGGGCTCGCTTTCTTTCCTCTTGCTGTTTTCTCTCCAGCTCTTCCACTCTTTCTCGTTCTTTCTGCCTCCTCCTTTCCTCTTCCCTCCTCTCCTCCTCCCTCTGTTTCTCCAGTTTCCTCATTCTCTCCATCTCTTCTTCTTTTTTCTGCTGCTCTTGCATCCTCTTTTGCCTCTCCTTTTCTCTTTCCTCTGCCTCCTCTCTTAATCTTTCTTTCTCCCTCTTCTCTTGTCTGAGTCTCTCCTCTTCCAGTTTTTGGGCTCGCTTTTTTTCCTCTTGCTGTTTTCTCTCCAGCTCTTCCACTCTTTCTCGTTCTTTCTGCCTCCTCCTTTCCTCTTCCCTCCTCTCCTCCTCCCTCTGTTTCTCCAGTTTCCTCATTCTCTCCATTTCTTCTTCTTTTTTCTGCTGCTCTTCCAGCCTCTTTTGCCTCTCCTTTTCTCTTTCCTCTGCCTCCTCTCTTAATCTTTCTTTCTCACTCTCCTCTTGCCTGAGTCTCTCCTCTTTCTGTCTCGCCCTTTCCCCGTCCTCCTCTTTCTTTCTCTGCCACATCAACTCCAACTCTTTCTCCTTTTCCCTCTCTTCTTCTTCTCCTCTCAACCTCTCTGTCTTGTTCACCCACTTTTTTCCCCACTCCTCCTCTTTTTGCTCCTCTTTATTCATTCCTGCTTCTCCCAGTTTTCCCTCCACTCTGCACTCCGCCTGCCCCTGACTCGATGTCTTCTCCTCTTCTCTCAGCCTCTGTCTTTCTCTTTCCTCTCTCAGTCTCTCCTCTTTCCTCTCCTCCTCCTTCTTCTTTAATTTCTCTTTTTCCCTCTCCTCCAGATCTTGTTTAAGTCTCTCCTCTTTCTGTTTCGCCCTCTCTCTTTCCTCTTCTCTCTGCCTCTGCCGCATCAACTCCATCCGTCTTTCTCTCTCCATCTCTTCTTCTCTTAGCCTTTCTCTTTCCCTCTCCTCTTCTTTCAACCGTTCTCTCTCACATTCCTCCTTCCTCTGCCTCTCCATTTCTTCCTCCTGCAGCCTCTCGCTTTCCCTGTCCTTCTCTTCTTTCTTCCTGGCCTTTTCTTTCTCCCTTTCTTCTTCTTCTTCTTTTCGTTTCCGCTCCTCTTCTAACTGAACTTTCGCCTGTTCAATCTGCTCTGTTCTCCTTTTTTCAAATTCCAAATGTTTCAGTCGTTTCTCTTGGTCTTGCGCCTCATCGTCCTTCTTCTGAAGAACTCTTCTGTAGACAGGCACTGAAACAGGGATGGCCTCCTCAGCTTCATCCTCAGAAGCGTTGTCTTCTTCTTCTGTGCTGGAATCAGACGGTGAGCCCAGGATGATAGGAGGAGCACCATCATCTCTCTCCACAACACCAAAGCGAACAGAGCGCCGTTTGACATTGTCCCTCTTTGGAGCATGCTGAGCAATTTCACTCGAAGCTACGTCTTCCTTATCAGTGGCAGTGTGGCTCATAGATGGGATGTGATTGTGTAGTGGGACATCACCCTCTGTTGACTTGATCTGTATATGCGCTCCTGGAGTCTCTCTTGAGATTTTCAATGACGTATCTCCTGTAAGAGCATCTTTACATGTTTCCATTGGGGTCTCTGTGGGTTGTTCAGCAGCTGAGACCTTTGAAGGAGGATCTACCGCCTGACTGGACGATGTCCCGGTTGCAGGAGGTTCAACAGGTGGCCTTTTGGGTGTTTTCTCCACTGTTGGAGCAGTCGCTGGCTCAAAGCTGTGGAAGAAATGACAGTAATTCAAGGAAAAGAACTGACCTGTCTTCAACACATCCTGGCACATTTGATCACAGCAGGTCACAATAAAAAGAATTGCTGTGCTAAATATGAAGCTATAGCCAGCAGCAGGTTAGCTTCGCTTAGCACACACACATACTGGAATTGCGGGAAAACAGCATGGCTCTGTCCAAAACGTAAGAAATCCACCTATAAGTATGTCTAGAGCTCAGTAATGTTGTTAACATGTTGTACCTTTCTGTTTGTTTAATCTATGCAAAACAGAAATATGTAAAAATTATGCATTGTGGTTTTAGGGAGGGAGTGGGACTACTACTTTTTTGGCCTTCTGCCACTTCCTGGTGTTTTGTCATCGCAGTGAGGTTGCCAGCCGACAGACACAGACACCATCTGACACCATCTTACCAAAAATGTCGAACTATTCCGTTAAAGGATTGGTTTATCCAAATTACAAAAAAACATATTCCTTCACTTACCTGTAGTTGTGAAAGAATATGTTTTGGTTTGACTTGCCAGGGTCTGACAATATCATCTCTCAGATTTCCGCCTCTATGTAACCACAAGGTGGATTTCATTTGTGGTGCTCAAAACACTGAAAGCTTACATTTTAAAAATTCAACGGCAACTTCTCCTCCCAGAAACAGTGTCTTTGTTACTCTGGATAATCCACACAAACACACACACACACTGTTGACAGTTTTCATAATTATTTCTTTCCGATAAAGAAGTTCTAGTTAAAACAGCTGACTCAAAACAGTGAGGACATTGTTTTTCTAAAGACGTCTTGCTGTTGCATTTTTTTAAAATGTCATTTTAAATGCGGTGTGTAACACAAACAAATAGTCACCTGGTTTGCACTCTTATCTAAATCTTGTTATTTGAGTACATACATCTGGCCACAATCTTGATTTTGCAAACAACATTCTTCATTTCCCACATCCCTGTTAATGTCCACACAAAGCACAGTGCGTAAGGAGACACAAAGGAAAAGAATACGGTGCTGGTGACACTGCCTCTATAGTTCTACACTTGTACTCATCTTCCCACTGTGCAGTTTATTATGCACCAATGAAGAACCAGTTTTACCCAAGGAATACTAACTATGTTGAATAGAAAGATAAATTACAACGTCACAAAGAGATAAATCTGAAATGGAAAGTTGAACCCTGGGAAATAATAGCAAAACCATAATAATATGTGCCATTAACCTTAAAATGCTTGATGAGAATGTTCTTTTGCTTTAATTCGTGCCTATAACACGTTGCCAAACACAAACAGCACAGATGAAAGGAGGCTCACTCACCTCTTAGAGCGAATTCGGGGCACAACCTGAGGCTTCTTCTCGGTCTTCAGACCCTTTTCCGTGACCCAGTTTTTGATTTTCTCTTTTACACCTCCTGTACCATTTATCACTTCTGGCTCCTCTGTCTTTGTTATGACCTCTGGCCTCGATGATGAGTCAAACAGAAGACTGATTCTGCGTTTTATGCTGCCTCCTTCACCGAAATCCTCCTTCATTCCACCTGCATCACTCTCTCTGTTTGACGGCTCGGCTGTGGTCTGGCTTTGCTCTGGATCTGAGGACTCTGGCTTGTTTGTGTTGTCTTTGGCGCTGGTTGTATAGCTGGTTATACTTGGCTGGGGGGGCAGAGGTAGGCCACCGGACTCAAACTTCGAGGTGAGCTCTGCGGGCAGGCGCTTCCTGGTGCCGCTCCATCTGTTTGCTGGATTGGCTGTGGAGAACTCACTTCCTGTTTCTTCAAGCTTTTGGACGACAGAAGTGTTGTTTGTTTCATCTTCTTTAGTTTTTCTGTCTTTCTGTTCTGGGTTAGCTACGATATCTACGGGTGCTTTGTGGTTTGTTTGGATGGCACTGACTTTCTGGATTGGCTCGGCCGTTGGTGTCTCTTTGGGTGGGGCGGTTTGTGCGGCTGGCTCAGACTTTCTGACACTAGAATCAAGAATATTCTCTCCATGTGCTTTACTGTCTTTGGTTGTTTTTGCCTGATGTTTGGCGGCAGCACTTACAGAGCTGGGTTTGGAATCAGAGGTGGTGGGTTGTTTGGGGGGTTGCTGGGCCGGGGGGGTCAAAGTCGGTTTTGGGACACCTCCGGCCTCATATTTTTCAGCCTGCTCTTTTGTTGTCTTAGAGGCTGCAAAGACCACCCTTGGGGCATAGATGGAGCGAATGGTGGAGTTCTTCTGCAGAGAGAAGGGCTTGGGAGTGAGCAGAGGTTTGGGGGCCAGAGCTGGCTTGGGTTTTGATGTGCCACCAGCCAGGGATCCCTTAACGGAGCTCTCCATAACTGATTCGCTGAAAGAAGAGAGGAGAGGAGGCGTTTACATACAGCAAGACACAGCCTAAGTCTGGTTAGTCTAGATTTTTGAAGGCACACAGGAAAAGAGAAACTAATCAATCAAACTGAATAAACACCTGAAACTATGACAAGTCTTCCTACTGGGATCATCTTTGCTTTCTTACTTAGTTTTCTTCCTCAGTTTAGTTTTTAAATAATGCCAAAAACTGTGTTTACAGTGGGCTCGTTTCTACAAAATTAAAACATTTGGTTCAGTTCAGTTCAGTGTGTTATTGGCATGAATGTTTCAATTAAAACAATGTTGCCAAAGCATTTAAATTGCCAGTTTCTCCTTCATAGTCCAGACCTGGCCTGCCACTATCACCTTTTTTGAGCCGAGGGCATAACTGTAGTTTTGCAAGTAGCGTCTGAGGACTCATCTCGATTGATGATGTAGAAAACTTGAAAAGAGCTATATATGACATTCACACGTGAGAAAAAGAAGATTCTGGTGTTTCATTTTCTAAGGCTGACATAAACTGTTTTTCTCCTCTGTGTTAATGACTTAAGATCAGGTGGGGGAAAAAAGGTAAAACAGGTGGAGAGAAGTTATGCCATCTTATCTCTGATAACTGCAATTTCACTACAAAGGTCACCCAGCAAGTAAACAGCTGTGGTCATGAGTAAGAAACACTACTCAAATCTCTGCAGCACAAGTTTACATGTATTATACATGAAAAACTGTACTAGCAGAGTCTTAAAAAGTACATTTATAGACATGAAGTGTGATATTACACTATTATAATATGTCATTTTGACAGTGGCAGTAACATGAGCTGCCATACAGCTTTGTTATTTTGAAACCGCACTCAACATGAAAAACTTCTAAAGCAGAAATCAGAGCAGGTAGATGGGAGACATGTTCATATTCTGCACAAGTCAGCAATCCCTTCTGCAGGCAAGACACATTTACATTTATTCATTTCGCTGACGCTTTTATCCAAAGCAATTTAAAATTGCTATACATGTCAGAGGTCGCACGCCTCTGGAGCAACTAGGGGTTAAATGTCTTGCTCAGGGACACAATGGTGGATGGGTCACAGTGGGGAATTGAACTCGGGTATCTCTCACCAAAGAAAGGCATGTGTCTCACACAATCACACCAGATCTCCAGTAGAACTGAAACACAACAAACAACCTTCTATGTGTACTGTCACATGAGCAATTTTTTTGTCAACACTAAATAACCACCAACGGTGTGTCACAAAAGAACAGCCATATTTGCACAATAGTAATGTCTCTACGTTTGCTACACTAAATACCACAGTCATTGTGTGCGGCACGTCATCTGGTCTGACCTGTAGGACTTTTGCACAAACCGGTAACTCCACACCTCATAGTTTATTACTGAGAGTTTCAATGTGTCAGGAAAATACTCAGTGTCACTCTCACGTTATCAATCCACAGCTGGTTTGCATGAACTGCTTTGATTTGAAGTGTGGGCTTACATACTTTTTGCATGTGTTTTGTAATTATCTATTTTGCTGCATTGCTAAATCACACACCACCTCTGGGGGTGCATGATATTGTGTAATGGGATCAGAGTAGACTCCTAACACCAGGCAGTGGGGTTAAATATGTGTCCTGTTTGTGTCTTTTTTTTTCTTTCTTCCTAACAGTTGAATTCCTAAGAAACAAACACTGTCTGGCAAGTAAAGCTGCAGCTGATTGATTATTTCTGCTGCTTATTTAGGCCACATTCAGTGAGTGCAGGGCGCAGTGAAAGTCATTCTGCAGCAACAATTGCAGCTTGTGAGATTTTCGTTTCTTTATCTCTTGTTTGCCTTTTAGTGCATGTTACCCAGCTAAGGCTGACGCCTTTCGCTTTCATGTGCACCGCATTATTAATTTACTACTTTGAGTGATGCTGCGAGAAGCTAACGTTATAGACACTGAGTTTGGGACCAGTCTGGTCCTTAGAGAGCCAAAATATCGCGATGTAATGACTTGTAGCACACATTAAACGGTGAAATTAACGTTATGTCAGTACATGTGTTTCATTGTGGGCTGTTAATAAGTTACTAATAAACGCGTCAACAGTGTTGAACTACCAGTCGTTGAACCAGCAGTGTGTCCACCGCAGCTGGACAAAGGAAACTCAGATAACTTTACGTTTAATTCAAGCTAAACTCTCAGTCCTGTGAACGACTCTTTTTGAAGGATATATCGTCAAAATATTGACGTTACAGAAACATAGCATGTAGATTGTGCACCTGCTCTTAACACCAGCTTTATGAACTTTTCTATCGGTTGAAATGTACATTTCTCTAGCAGAATAATTCAAGTTATTTATTTTTTGTTTTACCTTTTGTCTTCACGCAGTCATGCAGGTGGGGGGAGGATGGAAGGAAGGAAGCGGGAAGAAGTTACAAAAGACACTTGTCCCACAGTTTTTCCGCAGTCTCGCCTGCTGAGCTGTTGTCAAAAGTGCTTTTTTTTCTCCAAGTCATTCGCGATATGTAGACGTCAGATTGCACTACACCCAGCTGACACTCCCTCCGGCCGCCCCAGGTTGAGCTCCACGCAAGTCACATACTGAGAGACACGACTGGACAGGAAGTGGGGCTTTCTTTTGCGTCAAAATAAAAGCGCGACAACCAGTGTCGCGAAAATACACGCGCTCCTTCAAGGCGTCATCACTGAAGTAAGACCATCAACGAGAAGGTGCTGTGTCTCCATTGTGTGCCACAGAGTCAGCTAGCCTAAGTACTGCGTTATAAAGAGAGTTCTCATTTCAGTTTGGGCAGTACAAGGGTAATAGCCTAGTTGTATAGGGCCCTGCACAAGGGGCCCCAAGAGGAACTTCCTAATGGCAAGCTGTTTACTTTTGTTTTTACAGTGGAAATGTCTTTGACCCAGCAGGTAATATTGCCAACAAGATGAAATAATCAATTATTAAAGGGGGAATCAGGCATGCACCTTAAATGCTTTGCACAGTATTTAAATTAGTGTAGCCTAGGCCTACTGTTTCTAGCATCAATAGTGTTAGCTTTCAGTAAAGCATGAAAATTATGAAATTATCTGCAATGCTTAGATATAGCAGAGAGAGAAAAAGGGAGCTCAATCAATGGGGCTGAAGTGACTCACCATCATTTAGAAAATCCTCATGAATTTGAAAGTGCTTCAATCGGCGCTTTTGTTTTAAGAAATTGTGCCGGAAGTGCCCTGTAAATTAATTTTAACTTGACCGAAGAAAGCTGTTCAATTGACTTGTTAAACAGGTTCGGACTGTGGGGTATGGCCACTTCACACAGTGTGAAAAGCAATTGGATCCATCCAGTTCTCCCTGCTTTATGGAGAGAGCTGAGGGTACCTGGGACATCTTAACAGCAGGAAGTGCCCACCAGCTCTCACACACTAAAACCTCATTTGCATAACACCTTGGCTTTACAGCTTAATTTGCGTTGTCTTCGTGTAAGGGCAGGAAACACCAGAACCAAGTGGCATGAATGACTTTTGAAGTTCAGCAAATCTGAGAAATAAGACTTGTTAGATGAATTCATCTTTGTTTGTGTGCGAGTGTGCATTGCTCTTGTTGTGGGAACAAACACGTCCCCATTAATAAATTGGCTACATCAAATTGTAGGGTGAAGACTTGTGTTATGATAAGGTTAGGTTTAGGTAAAGGTTAGGGTTAGGCAAATAGTGGTCATGGTTAGGGTAAGGCTCCAGGAAATAAATGTAATGTGTGTGTGTATGTGTGTTGGGCTAGCTTTGGGGGTTAGAATTGTTTTTCAAGTCATACAACATAGCTACAATAGGGCACATTTGCATTTCTACAGTGGTGGAATGTAACTGAGTACACTGACTCACTGTAGGCCTACTGAACAGCTTCAGTTTAGAAGGAACCACTGTTGTTCGTCAGCGTCTAGTCAATGTATTTGGAACACAAATGGTTTACAGCTCTTCTTCTTTACTACGAGTTCAATATGCACCTTTAAAGTTTGGAGAGATTATGTCCTCCCCACCCCTCATGTGCCGTTTCAGACCCTCAGGACTTTAATTCTAAAAATCTCCAACTGGAAGATATTTTTATTGACATAAAAAATGCACTTAAGTACAAATTTGAAGTACTTGTACTTTGCTCAGTCTTATGCGTGCTAAATCCACGTCTAGGCTATAGGCTACTCCACATTTCAGAGGGAAAGATTGTAGCTAGTCTACTCACTTACTTCACTATAATTATCTGACAGTTCTTCATATGTTTTTATACAAAACATATGAAGAGCTTATAAAATATGTTTTGTTACTACCACTACCCAACACGATACAACTGTAGAGGTAAAACAATTAGTTGATTAATCAATTATTCAATCACTTGCCATTAATTTGCAGATTTACACAATTATTTAGATAAACGTGTAAGCCATTTGTCATGCAAAATCACCCAGTGAAGGCCCAGTTTCCAAAATGTGAGGATTTGCTGATTTTTCTCTATTTTGAATCCTTTTGAATTTTATACTATTGACTTGACAAAACAAGCATTGTGAAGGTGTCACTTTGGGCACTAATTGTGATGGGCATATCCCACTATTTTCAGACATTTTACTAACCAAACCACCAATCGATGAAGAAAGAAGATAATCAGCAGATTAATCCAAAATGAAAATAATCAATAGTTTCGGTCCTATACAAATTAGCTCCACCTCATCCAGCTTCAATAGTAGTGCACTGCTTTTACATTAATGCGTGAGTAATAACAAGCTCATGAGTCACATGTGGCCATTGTTTTGCATTGAGTAGGTCTATTTTCAATACTTTAAGTCTATTTTACATTTTCCTGATTTGATTAGGCTATATACTTTTATATTTCCAAAGTGGGATATTTCAGGTATTGGTGGCCTAATTTTACTAAAGTAAACAATCTGAATAGGCCCACTTCCTCCACCACTAGGTAGCACAGAGCTCCATCTCATCCAGCTGCAATGCTGCCTACATGTTAGTGCATCAGTGGAAAACAATCCAACGATAGCCTTGTAGAACTTGTGGACTTTCTGATAGGGTCCATTCTGCATGATGATCAGGATCCTGCAGTATTTTTACATTGTGCCATTGCTACTTAAGTAAATGATGAGTACTTTTCCCACCCTGCAACTTATATATTTGTCACAATACGACAATAGCCTTCTTGTTTTATCATTGTTATCATTAGTAGGCTAGTAGATCTGGAGAGAGGGGTGTCCGTCCCCCCCTGGTGGATGTTTTGAGGAACTACTTCACACCCTCCTCCTTTCACACAGTCTATGCTCACAGGACAGGTTGTCATGGCAACTGTACAGCATGTGCTTACAAAAACAAGCGCTTGACCGCTCACAGACAGTCCATCTGCGGCGCCATCTTCTTCTTCTTTTTCTCTGTCTTCTAGCGTTCATCAGGGAAGAAGAAGAAGAAGAAGAAGAAGAAGAAGAAGAAGGAGAAGAAGAAGAAGAAAGGGGAGACGGGAGGCGATCGGCGGAATACAGAGGGCAGCCGCAGAGAGTCAACGATGAGCGGAGCCAAAGCCCGCAGCGACGCGCCTGTTGCTGAAAACGTCCCCGGCGGCGGTCACAGCTCTGCGGCTCCTCAGCGGGACCGCAAGCCCGGTGGAGGGGTTCTGAAGAGGCTCAAGTCCCGGAGGAGCCAGGTGGACAGCAGGCCCGTCACGGAGGAAGACCTGCGGACACAGAGTGGACACATCGCACCGGAGGATGTGCTAGGACTGCGGGTGGCCACGCGAGGTTTGACTCTCTCTTGTTTGTGATGCTCGATGTGCTGAATTAAGTATCTGGACATAATGCAACCCAGTCTCTAGCTGCAGAGTACATTAAGTCTGCATATCACACAAAATTAGAACATATGACGTCCAGTTAAGCAGGCATAAATGGCTATCTGAGAGAATACATATCTGACGTCACAAAATACATATCTGAGGTCACAAACAGTGAGACAGAAGTCATTAGACAATCTTTCACTCACAAACTCCATTGTTTCTCCTTGTAAGCAGATCAATGGGCTTTAACAATAGGAGACGTGTGTGACATAAAGGTTGTCTGTGGTGTCACTTTAAATGTATTGAAATCCTACCATGAAATCAAACTCTTCAAAAATGCCCGATGACCTCAGATCACATGCAGGATTGATCAGGAAGAGCTTCTATATGGTCTTAGTTAAATTACATAAAAAGTAATGACAACATGGTAGATTCTTATCAGTGTTGTAGTTTGCAGCTGTTGGGGCAACATATGCGGAAGGGAAAGAAAAATAAATTAAAGATTGAATTATTGTGAGAGGGGGGGTTGTTTGTGACATAATAAAATTGTTAAGCCATAATCAGTGTATGTGTCTGTTTGCCTGTGTAACTCTGTGATGACACAGTGGCCCCACAGTGGTCCATAAAGCTTTGTCTTATCTTATAATATTGTTAGGGTGCATATGTATTTGCATTTGTTATGTCCGTCTACAAGAACAAATGACGTCCAGTTAAGCAGGCATACATGGCTGTGTCCGTCTGCAAGCAAAACTCTGCCATCTCAGTGTTAACAAAGTCAAGCACAGTGTTTTGCATGTTATCTTCGTGCCTGTCAAAGCAGCCTATCTGGGCATCACGGGTGTACATAATGAGCTACAACAGCTTGACTGGAATCATTTCAATGTTTATAAATCCTGTTGTTGCAGGGTACCTCTGTAAACCTGAGGACAATATTTATAACATCGACTTTGTACGCTTTAAGATCAGAGACCTGGAGACCGGCACCATCCTGTTTGAGATTGCCAAACCCCCACATACAGGTATCATGTATTAGCCCACTCCTTGTACTGTTTCATTCCAGTGTTTGTTCTGTAATGCAAATGAAGATGTTCACTGTGAAGTGTCTGGCTTCAGAGCACCTCAAAACTGAGTGTAGAGACCCTGCTGACAACTTGTTGCCATTATTAGCTTAAAATGAGTGTGTCTAAACAAAAATGTCAGGTTCAGAAACATCTGTTGCTGGTTATCTTGATCAAAAATAGCCCTCACTGTGAATTGTTTCAAATGTCTCTGTTGTCAGACGACGATGAGGAGAACAGAGAGGCAGACACCAGCGCAGGCCGATTTGTACGCTACCAGTTCACCCCAGCCTTCCTGCGACTGAGGACCGTGGGAGCAACGTGAGTGACTCACAAATCGCCAACGCACACCTAGGAAAAACACACTCATCTGTTCCATACACAAACAATTAAAACAACTGCAGCATTATCACTGTTAGCTAGACACTTTAGTCCGGTGCAGTATGACTGTGTTAACATTATTATTACACAGGAACAGACTTACTGTTCTCAGTCTCCCTTCTGCCTGAACTATTCAATCAGGGTGGAATTCACAGTTGGAAACCGGCCTCTAAACAACTTCCGCATGATCGAGAGGCATTACTTCCGCGATCACCTGCTGAAGAGCTTCGACTTTGACTTTGGCTTCTGTATCCCAAACAGCCGTAACACCTGTGAGCACAT